TGAATGGGGAGATTTACTAACTTTGAGATGGAAAGCATATTAATTTCATGAATTGGAAAGATGAACAGGTTTGAGTGCTTCTCTACAACCTTTTCTACCCATTTTAGCCTAAATATTACCAAACAAAGTAATTTTTCAGAGTAGAAGTACATTTAAATAACTGTTGATATACCTCAGGAAGTAAGATCTTGCCAAATAATTAAGGTCTGGGTAAATACTAATGTCATATCCACTTACCGTAGCGAAGGAAACCTATATGGGTTGATACACAGAGATACCTAAATAGATTACAAAATTTAGGAACAAGATACATGGAATATGCATGCATATATTGTGGTATGGTATGTGCATATGTTTTTTTTGGTCACCTTAATTAGATAAAATATAGACAATTTATGTGACCTTGCAGAAGAGAGAATAGATATCCTTTTCATCTGTGTCTTTCTATATGACTTTAGTTGTGTGCATATAATACATATTCATTGCAAAAATATGAATTCATTTTGAGGTGCTTGCTTAGAGATTCCATTAGGCACTGGGACATGTGTCTGAAGCTTAACAGAAAATTCTTTTTTTTTTTTTTTTTGGTACCAGAGATCGAACTCAGGACCTTGTGCTTGTGCAGCAGGCGGTGGAACCACTGAGCTAAATCCCTGGCCCCAGAAAATTCTTATTAAGAGTAGATGTAGAGGGCCGGGGATTTAGCTCAGTGGTTTTGCCGCCTGCTGCGCAAGTGCAAGGACCCGAGTTCGATCCCCGGTACCAAAAACAAAAACAAAACAACAAAAAAAGAGTAGATGTAGAATGAAAAGGGCAAGAATACATCTAAAGAATTAGTTTCTTTGCAATAGTTGACTTTTGTAGGTATATGCTTTTATAGAAAATTATGGTAAAAAAATTAGAGCTTTGTTTTATGTTAAATGAAAATCCATTTTCCATTTGGTATAAATGTTTTCTATTGATCACTGTTAGAGGGTGATACTGTTTCCATAATAAGTGGATAAATGAAAGAAAGCAATATTCTTGATTTTTCTAATCTGCAGTTTTTAGGTAGTGAAATAATGGCTACTTAACTAGTACAGAGTAATAGAATTATCATTTGTAAGTACTTCCCTTATTCTTGGAGACTTCCATGTATAGTAATTCAGGGACTTAATTTTAGTTGAGTTTATGGTTTCTAAATTAATCTGCTCATCTCATTCACATGGAAATCTTTCTATTGGTTTGTTTGGTTTTTTGTGGGGTTTTTTGGTACTGGAGATCGAACTCGGGACCTTGCGCTTGTGAGGCAAGCGGAAGAACCACTGAGCTAAATCTCCGGCCCATGGAAATCTTTCTAAATTCTGAGTGAAGAAAGAATTGTGCTTGAGCATTTTTATTCTGTAGTCAGGATACGTTAGGATATCTTGACTATAACATTTGCCAGTAGAACTACAGTACTTGAATATTAGATCTACCAGATTTTTAGATCTACTAAGATTCTGTGTACTTGTAAAATGTATTATTTTATCTCTAAAAGGGTATGTTCAAGATAGTATGTTATTGGGGGCTGGGGATTTAGCTCAGTGGCACTGAGCCTGCCTCACAAGCACAAGGTCCTGAGTTCGATCTCTGGTGGGGGGTGGGGGTGGGAATAGTATGTTATTGTCACAGTGAAAGGGAGGAGATAAAATTAATAATATAAATATAAATAATACAAATTTAAATTTGAGTTTTACTTCTGTATATGGCTGTACCTGATCTCCTAGTTTTCTGTACTTAGCTTTGTATCTAATTGAAACTATCCCTGTGGTGAAGTGTTTGGCAATATGTGAAAATTCCTTTCAGGAAGGCAGGGGTGATCTTTTTCTATTCATAAAAGTATATATGTACTACATAAATGAAAAGTGACAAAGTGATAATTTATACCTCAAAAATCATAATTTTATACCTGTTATTAGTTTTCAGGATAGGAGAATATATAATGTAAATGACTTTATTTTTAAATTTATTGTGACTTGATATTATTGAGTATATTTAAAATCTTTGCATATTCCAACGTTTGTTTGATTGGTTTTGGTACCGGGGATTGAATTTGGGACCTTGCATTTGCAAAGCAGTCGGAGGAACCACTGAGCTAAATCCCCAGCCCTATCCCAGTGTTTTTTAGAATGACTCCATAAAATAACAAAAAGTTGTCTTTAGGAAATGTATTAGGTTTACTCATTTTTATCCTTAATAGAACCCTGTTAAACAGAATTAGTCCTTTTAATAATGTTACTGTGCACTAGTTTAGCAACTATTTATGGAAACTGTGGCAATTTTCATGCTTCTGCAAGAGGACAACTTAATATGAAGAACAGAATTGTTTTATTTATCTATATGGAGAATAGTAGTGTCTTTTCAGGCCAGAGGTGGAAGAATTTCTTTATACTTTGTCTCCTATGAATAGTTATTTGAATATGAATACATAACCATCTGTACTGTTGCCACTATGTGACTTTGGCGAACCACTTGTTTCTGCATTAATTCACACATCAAAGTTAGACTGCCCTCCATTTCCTATCTCATGAGGTTGTTTTAAGTATTAAGTGAAAATGTAAGAGGTCAAACATACTATTTTGCAGAGATTTACATTATAATATTCAGTAATTTTCTGTCAAAACTTACTCAGATTATTCAGGTATATTCATATGTAACATAGTGCATTGAATTACATAATGACTCCTACTGCTGCTCTCTTTTACTGTCCTTGGAATCTAACCTAAGGCCTCATGCTAGGTAAGTGCTCTATCACCGAGCCATATCTCAAGTCCCAAAGCTGCTGTTAAGAAAAAAAATGTTTATCTGTTTATAGAACAGAACTTTTGTAATGATTAATTATAATACTGACAGTTGTGTTAACAGTATGTTCCCCTGAAAAAATTTTTTTAGACTTCGAACTTATCGTTTGGGGGATTAATGATACATATATTTGAGATTTGCTTTTAGTTTTTAATTTCTGGACCTCTGTTTCAACCTGTTTATAGGGGACAGAATGCTGCTAAGTGCTAGGTATTAGTATATGTGCTGCCGAAGCGAGCACTAGGTATTAGTGAATAGATAGATATACCTGTCATTCAAAGAATTTACAATCTGGGTAATATCTTCATTTCTCCCAAACCTTACATAATTTTTGTCTGAATACTGAGGGATATAAGCAGTGGCAGCAGTACTTTCTGATGTGTAAACATTGCTTTTTAGGGTTATTAATGTAGAAACATCTCAATCCTGTATGACTTTTAATTTCATTTATTAGCAAATATTTTTGACTGATTATGCGCCAGGTAGTTTTTTAGCATTTGAGAAAATTTAGTGAACAAAGACAAGACTGGGAATAACACTCAACTGTGAACATAATAAATTTATGTAATATGTTAAAAGTTAGTGCTAAGGGGAAAATAGAGCAGGACAAAAGAGGATCAGATCAGTGCTTAGGCAGGCAGTCATATGGCAGTTTTTGGTAAAGTAGTCATTCTCATAGAAAAGGCAACATTTAAACAAAGACTTGAAAGAAGTAAAGGAGTTGGCCATACAGATATTGGAGGAAGAATGTACCAAACAGGAAAAAAATGAGGAGTGTGACTTTTCCTGTTTAAGGAACATTAAGAAAACCCTTGGAAACAGTGTGAATGAGAGAGGACCATAGTAGAACCAGATGATATTGGAGAGGAAAAGAGGAGCCAGATCATGGAACATTTGGGTAGGATATTAAAACTAAGGTTTTTTACTTAGAGTGAAATAGTTACAGTATTTCAGGATTTTGAAAGTATTGTGGCTAGACACCTGGCTGCCACTGTTCTAATAACTTGGAAACCTCAGCTTTGTATACCTGAGAAAATTGGAATTTGAGAGTCTTTAAAAAGGTGTCTTGTACAAACCAGAAATTAATCATTCTGTATTCATACTGTAGTCTTTAGGAATATAAAGCACAAACATCTTTTTCTTTGGAGATATTTAAGACTTGATGCTTTCCAGGGTTCTCTGGTTTTGTGGTACAGATTAGCATCCTTCTTGTGGCTTCCCTTTTTTCCTTAGATTTCACCTTTCTCTGGTTTGTCATTTTGTATTAGTTTATCTTTCCAAGCTCACTATTGTCTCTTCTCTTGTTCTGTCCTTCCTTGTGACTTTATTGGTTATTCTGTATTAGTAGACAGAAATACTTTTTTCAGTCACTGTATTGACCCAGAAGACTGGTAATATAAAAATTGACTTTCCAGTATGATTAGAAAACAAAACAAGGGCCGGGGATTTAGCTCAGTGGTTTCCCTGCCTGCTGCACAAGCACAAGGACCCGAGTTCAATCCCCGGTACCAAAAAAAAAAGAAAACAAAACAAAACTGAAATGTTTGTATTACCTTTGCCTCATAATAAATCTTGCCAGTAATGTTATTTTCATGAAATGCAAATTAGGCCTTCAAAAAAACTTAAAATGCATCCATTTATGGTGATAAGAAAAGGGTATTCAGTGTTTATGTATATAAATTATATAAAAGTATCCTGTTTTGCTATAAAGCCCACACTTTGAGAGTCACTATTTTGGGACAATTTAGATTTTTTTTTTTTTTTTTTTTTTTTACGGTACCAGGGATCAAACTCAGGACCTTGTGCTTGCGAGGCAGGCGGCAGCACTGCTGAGCTAAAATCCCTGGCCCACCGGGACAGTTTAGATTTGACAGCTCATTTCAGTGATGTGAGCAAGTTAGTATGTTTGAAGACTTAAGAACAAAGTGAGTTACTGAAAGACAGCATATTTTGGTGGAAAGACATGGGTAGGAGATCTGGATTTAGTTTCATTTCTCTATTACTAAATTTCAGACTTCAATAAATCTCATACTCTTTCTATATCTGTTTCTTCATTTGTAAAATGAAAGATTACAGGTTAATCTCTAATTTTTAAAATTTCATGTTACTTATTTTTGAAAATTTTTTTTGCTTTCCTGGATAATAAGTATAATTTTCTAATTTTATTTTTTATGCAGGTTAATGGTGCAGTGTAAGAAACCTTTAAAAGTTTCTGATGAATTAGTACAGCAATATCAAATTAAAAACCAGTATATTTCAGCAATAGCATCTGATACAGAAAAAGAACCTAAAATTGATCCATATGCATTTGTTGAAGGAGATGAGGAATTCCTTTTTCCTGACAAAAAAGATAGACAAAATAGTGAGAGAGAAGCTGGAAAAAAACATAAGGTAAGAGAAATTGCAGTACACCAGAGGGTCACTGATGGTTTTGTAGCACTACCTATATAGCTATATCTTAGTACCACCCTTAACTCATTTTTTTCCCTTTCAGAATAGATTTAATCATCTTAATTTATATGTGTCCATTTTTTAATTGATTAAATCAGCCACATGGTACACTTTATGGCTGGTCTCTGATAATGCAGAGATCTTTGTTTTAATGTTTCTAGATTGGATAAAAAGCATTAACTTCTGTCATAATTGAATTTAGGACATGTCAGTAGACCGTTTTGTCACTGAGTTTAAAAATGTACTGTAAGTGAATCACCAGTTTTCAAAAATAAAATATGTTCCACTGAATTTAAATATTTTATAATATTTTTGAATATCTAATTTAGGAACTTAAATTGTCCCTAAAAGTAAAAACTTACATTAATGAAATATGGGGCATAAAAATATTTATCTGATTAAAATTTTAAAAATCAAGTATTTGAGGATCTTCTAAGCAGGAGAGCTCAACATGGTGTTGTATACTTGTAATACCTGCTATTTTGGGGGAACTGAGACAGAAGGATTGTAAGTTTGAAGGTGGCCTAGGCAACTTAACCGAGACCCTGTCTCAAAAAGATAAAAAGACATGTAGAAAGCTGAGGCAGGAGGATTATAAGTTCAAGCCCAACTGGGACAAGACCTTATCTCAAAAATTAAAGGGTGGAGGGCTGGGAGTGCAGCTTTATACTCCTTTGATTTAATCCCCAGTACCAAGAGAAAAAAAGAAAAAAATATGTATATTTATATGTATGTGTGTTGCAACTGTTAAATAAAACTTTTGCCTTAAATACAAAATAGAAAAATTGAAAACTAAAATTGTGGAAATGACCCAGTAATATGTTTAGTATAAAGAATACATTTTACGATATTTTACTTAGCTCTACTGTATGCTAGGTACTTAAAATTTTGTCCTTTTGTAAATATGAAAACAGTGGTAGATGGAAAGCTGCAGGTATGATAGAAAGAACATAGACTTTGAAATTTTACAGTTATAGGTTAAAATTCCCCCTCCCCCTGATTCTTGGGCAGATTCTTTTTTTTTTTTTGGTACCAAGGATCAAACTCAGGACCTTGTGCTTGCAAGGCAGGCGCTGGTGCCACTGAACTAAATCCCCAGGCCCTGGGCAGATTCTTTAGAATCAATCTTAATCTCAGTCAGTCAGTATCTGTCTATCTCTCTCTCTGTCCCTCCCTCCATCCCCCCTTCCTCTCTCTCAGATGAGCATACTACTTACTTGTTAACTATAAAAATCAGTAATACTATACATAGAACATTTAGCAGAATACTTGACACATAACGACTCAGAAATTGATAGATTTAAAAAATTGGTAGATTTTGGTTTTGGTAAACTATATATTTTAGCCTGCTATGTAATATTGTTTGCAGGTAGAAGATGGGACATCTAGTGTTACAGTCTTATCACATGAAGAAGATGCTATGTCATTATTTAGTCCCTCTGTTAAGCAAGGTAACACTTTTATTTCCTAATCAAAGTTAATGCATTTCAAATTTGTTACTATAAACTGATCTGATAATGGTGTACTTTTAATATTCTTTTTTTTGCATAATTCATATGTTTCTTAGGATGTATTGTTTATCTTTTCGGGGGAGAAGCAGTTCAGGTGATAAAAATTCATTTTTAAATTGTTGGGACTTTTTGTGCTTTTACTTTTTAAATAGAGGATTAACATCTAAAATATTAAAGGAACTCAAATATCTCAGTAGAAAGACTTCTTGATTTAAAAAATTAGCAAAGGACTGATTAGACTTTTCTCAAAAGAAGACATACAAATGGCCAACATGAAAAATATTGCACATTACTAATCATCAGGAAAATGCAAATTAAAACCATCATAAGCTATCACCTCACACCTGTTAAAATGACTTATCAAAAAAGATAATAAGTGTTGTCAAGGATGTGGAGTAAAAGAAACTTTGTGTACACTGTTGGTAGGAATGTAAATTAGTACAATCATCATGATTTTAAATAAGTATCCAGTATGGAGTTTCCTAAAATATTTAGAGATGGAACTACCATATGATCTAACAGCCACACTACTGGGTATATATTCCAAGGGTAGGAAGTCAGTATGTTGATACTGATATCTGCACACCTGTGTTCACTGTGGAATTTTTCACAGTACTCAAGATATGGAATCACCCTAAGTGTCCATCAAGAGATGCATGAATAAAGAAAATGTGACCTGTATACATCAGTGCAGTACCATTCATCCTTGACATGGACTAATAAAACTTTTTTTAAATAAATGAAGGGGTAGGACTAGAAAGAAAAAAGTAAATATTGTATTTGGAATGGATGGATGGATGGATGAAATAATTTGTGGCAACATATATGAACCTGGAGGATATTATGTTAAGTGAAATAAGCCAGGCACAGGAAGACAAATACTGCACGAACTCACTTGTGTGTGGAATCTTAAATGGGACAAGACTGTGGCTGTAGCTCGGGAAAAGAGTGCTTCTCTAGCATGCCCAAAGTCCCAGGTTTAATCCCCAACACTGCAAAGAGGAAAAAAAAAAAAGAAAGAAAGTAAGAAAGGAGGGAGGGAAGAGGAAAAGAGAAAGAGTATCAAATGGTGTTTACCAGAAGCTGAGGGGTTGGGGATTGGAAAGATGTTGGCAAAAGGGCACAAAATCTCAGTTAGGAATAAATTCAAGAGATTTCTTATGTATCATAGTGTCTACTACACCTTATGATGGAGAGTATCATAAGTTAAATCGATTATAAGTTGAAATAGTGCATGTCAAAACTACATTTGACATACCTAACCTATCAAAAATTGCTTAGCCTAGCCTTAGATGTGCTCAGAACACTAACTTTAGCCTACAGTTGAGCACAATTGTGTAACTCTAAATTTAATTTGTAATTAAATTATGAATATATCATGTATTCTTTTGAATATTTATATCTGCTAAATACTGGCAACAGTACACCAGAGAGAGTTCAATTTTTACTTCTCATTATATGGCTGACTGGAACCTGCATCCTGCTCTCTCTGCTCATCATTATAAGAATATTGTGCCACATATTGCCAGCACAGGAAAAGATGAAATTCAAAGTTTGATGGTTTCTTACTGAATATAAATGGATTTCACACTGTTGTAAAGATAAGAACTTCTAAATTGGGGGCTGGGAATTAAGCTCAGTGGTTCTGCCACCTTCCTTGCAAGTGCAAGGTCCCGAGTTCGATCCCCGGTACCCCCCCCCCCAAAAAAACTTCTAAATTGAGCCTTTAAAGTTAAGGACAGTTTGTATTATGTATTTGAAAATTGCTGAGAGTAGATTGTAAGTGTTTTCAATACAAAAAAATTAAGTATGTAAGACAGTACATATATTAAATAGCTTGATTTAGCTATTCTAGCACGTACACATGCACACGTGCACGCACATTTGGGTTCTTGTGACTGGGCATGCTGCTTACTGCATGCCTGTAATCCCTGCACTTGGAGTCTGAGGTAGGAAGATCACAAGCTGTAGGTCAACCTGAGCTACACAATAAGAACCTGTCTTAAAAACAAAACACACATACTCCCCCGCCCCAAAATGGGTTCTTTGGCCTATTTTTTTACCCATGGATATAGAAGGTGTGTAATTCCTTTCTTGTGCTTGTGATACAGCATTCTCAAAATGTGGACCATGTACCACATTCATAGTATATTAGGTGGAACTTCGGGGTGTTTTTGGTGGTTTTTTGGTATTGGGGATCGAACTCTGGACCTTGCACTTGTGAGGCAGGCGGCACCACTAGGCTAAATCCCCAGTCCAGGACTTTGGTTTTTAATAAATACCCTAGATGAGTTTTAAATACTCTAAGATTTCAAAGCTATTTTTCTGATGAATCTTTAGAACTGACACAAAGTTTTACTGGGAAAGTGACTTATCTTTCTGAAAATGGAGGCTGTATCAAATCAGCTGACATGCAGAGATTAATGTGGGAAATCATGTTTCTTCCCCCCAAACTGGAAGTGAGGGTAAAATTCTAGTCCTGAAACAAAGCTTAAGTAAGGTAATAGCTATCAGTTACTCAAGTGGAACCTGGCAAAGCACTTTACCCTTATTCTGTCACTTTGAATTCTTGGTACATGCCATTATTGAAGAACAGAGCGGTTAAACAATATGCCAAGGATCATACTGTTGGTGGTGGAGCTGGGATTCAAATATTGTCCAACTGAAGAACTAGAACTCTTACTGTACTATGCTTCCTTTACATTTAAACAAGATTTAAAAAATGTGTATGTGTTCTTTCTTTAATTGTTACAATTGTACTTATCTAGGGGATATAGTATATTTCAGTACATGTATACCATATGTACTGTTCAAATCAGCATAGTTAGTAATTCTATCTTATTATTTCATTATGTTTGGAGCCTTCAAGCTCCTCTCTCTCTTCTCATTCTTCGTAAAATATATACTAGGTTATTGTGAACTATAGTCACTCTGATGTGCTGTAAACATTAGAACTTAATTCTCTAACTTGGTATCATTTGCTATCCCTCTAGCCCCCCTGCCCCACCTTTCCTATGAACAAGTAATCAAACACACACATACACACACAGATAGAAAGACAACACAGCATGAGATCTATAATCCTAACAAATACTGGAGTGTAATACTATATTGTTATCTATAGATACTTTGATATACAGCAGATATCTAGAATTTGTCTTGTATAATTATATATACATTGAACAACTTCCCCATTTTTAGATTTTAAATACAATTTCTTGTTGTATAACCTTCTTACAACATGTTTTTATAAATACACAGTCAATAAATAATAAAATATTTGGTTAGTAGTTGAGGTTTTATTTTATTTTTCTGACATATGTAGATGCACCACGTCCTAGTAATCATGCCCGTCCTCCATCAACCAGTTTGATTTATGACTCAGACCTGGCTGTCTCTTATACTGACCTTGATAATCTCTTCAATTCTGATGAAGATGAACTAACAGTGAGTATTCCATTATTGATTATGATTAAATTTGTTTTCTTTGATTTTCTTTTTATAAGTTCTTTATCTTTGGAAGTGATTTATGATTTAAACACTGTTTTAGCTCCAAACAAATAGGAATTATTATATTATAAAATATCATTGATTTTAAAAAATTTAATCTCGTGTGGAATCATCTTAATATAGTCTCCTGTATAAACTTTGAGGTGGCTTTTTATTTACCCTTTTGGTGTATGTTTGAGGGCGCATGAGGAAGCTTAATTTGAGCTCTGACATGTGTTCTTTTTCTAGAGTCTTTAGGAAATAGACACTGAGTTGTTTTTTTTTTTTTTTTGGTACCAGGGATCAAACTCAGGTCCTTGCGCTTGCGAGGCAGGTGGCAGAACCACTGAGCTAAATCCCCAGCCCTGTCATTAGGAAATAGAATAATTTTCTATTCTTTGATCTACTAGTTGAGAAATAACTCTGGAAATACTTCATCTAGAGAATATATCAGTAATTAACATTAAACTTCCATGTCAATTTCTTAAGACCACTGCTTTTGAATTTGACACTCATCTATTACTGTATGACCGATACATACCATAACAATGAAAGAATAACCTTTATTTGCAGAGAAAGGTGAAGAGAAAAGAAGTTGAAATTTAAATTGAAGATTCTCTAGAATATCAAGTCTGGCAAATTAATGAATTGAGTTTCACATCAACATAAAAGGGAATGCCTTTTTATCTGCATAACAGCTTGTAAATTGTGGCATATTTGGTCTTATCCCATATAATATATTCTGTCTGTCAGAATACACACGTGTGTGTGTGTGTGTGTGTGTGTGTATTTATATTCTGTCAGAATACACATGTGGGTGTATATATATATTTATGTATGTATGTGTCTGTATATGTATATACACGTTTGTGGCAGATATAGCAATTCATAAACTTTTACTCTATATCCCATAATGTATTTATTAGGGCACTGTTCAGTAAGTGAATATATCATTGAACACTTTGATCCACTTATACTTTCTGTATGCTGCCATTCATATCTCAGCTGTGGCCCTCCAAGGTAAAAAAGTTGTAGTCAGAGATTAGTCTACACATGTGTCACTATGTAAGTAACAGAAGACTTGGAATAAGTGTTGTCAGCTCTAAAAACATTAATGATAAATTGAAAATGTTAAAACTTTGTTTGCTCAGCATATTAAAACTTCTTTTAAATTAGGGGCCCTGTTGCTTTGTTATGAGGTCTACTTAATGGGGCAGGGCCGGGGATTTAGCTCAGTGGTTTGGGCGCCTGCCTCGCAAGCGCAAGGTCCCGAGTTCGATCCCTAGTACCAAAAAAAAAAACAAAAACAAAACAGTGGGACAAATGCTTTATGAGAATCTTTACAAACGATTCCAGTGTTAATTTACTAGTTCTTATATTTTTAATAGCACACACCCCACGCCCCTACCCCACCCCCCTACTGGGGATTGAACTCAGGACCTTGCGCTTGCCAGGCAGGCGCACTGCCACTGAGCTAAATCTCCGGCCCCCTGGTCCTTCTTAATAGGTTTTATGTTACTAGTTATTTTTTGTGTTACAGAAGTATTGGTCATTTTCTTTGGGGAAACTTTTTCTTGTGTTAATTGGAATGCTTGTGTAGACTTTATTTTATATCTTTAAACTATAATATGTATTTGGCTGTGTCATAGATTCAAATTACTACTTTTGATGAATGGAATTTACTTTGAAGTAAATCTGAATAATTACCACTTTGAGATCATGTTTGATTTCATATAATATGTGCTTTTTTAAAATAGCCTGGATCTAAAAAATCAGCGACTGGATCAGATGATAAAGCCAGCTGCAAAGAATCAAAGACAGGAAATCTGGATCCATTATCTTGCATAAGTAAGCTTCCCAAAATCTGTGCTGCAGTTAAATTTGCAAACTTTAAATCTCAACAAAGCTCCCCACTCCCTTTGTTTTAAACATAGATTTACCTCTTTTTAGTCTTATGTTAAAATGTGTGTTTTATTAAATATAGGCACTGCAGATCTTCATAAGATGTATCCTACACCACCATCATTGGAACAACATATTATGGGATTTTCCCCAATGAATATGAATAATAAAGACTATGGTAGTATGGATACAACACCTGGAGGAACTGTTCTAGATGGAAATAGTTCTAGTATAGGAGCACAGTTCAAAATTGAGGTTGATGAGGGATTCTGTAGCCCAAAACCTTCTGAAATTAAAGTAAGTATTTTATTATTCTAGAAAAATAATGCACTTTATTTTCTTATATAATTTATTATATTAAATCCTTTCATAGTGATTATAGTTTTGTAGCTAACAAATTTGAGGGCTGTATTGTAGTGATACTACTAAGAATGCATTTAAGGGCCGGGAATTTAGCTCGGTGGTGCTGCCGCCTGCCTCACAAGCGCAAGGTCCTGAGTTCAATCCCTGGTACCAAAAAAAAAAAATCATTTAAGAGCGGCTGGGGATTTAGCTCAGTGATTCTACTATCTGCCTCAAAAGCGGAAGGTCCCGAGTTTAATCCCCGGAACGGAAAAAAAAAAAAGAATGCATTTAAGAATAGAATAACATTTACATTTTAAAGAGAAAAAAGGATACAATTAGTTTGGTTGGTTTTTTGTTTATTTTTTGTCCCTGGCAGCTAATACACTGAAAGTCCATGGTCTTTATATTATAGGATTTTTCTTATGTCTATAAGCCTGAAAATTGTCAAGTTCTTGTGGGATGTTCCATGTTTGCACCTCTGAAAAATCTACCAAGCCAATGTCTGCCCCCTATCAAATTGCCAGAAGAGTGTATTTACCGTCAGAGTTGGACTGTTGGAAAATTGGAATTGCTTCCTTCAGGGTCTACAATGCCATTCATCAAAGAAGGGTATGATTTGTGTTTTTATCATAGTATATGAATGCTTACCTAGGTTTAATTTTTTTATTTTTCCACAGAAGTACCTGGTATGCTGGGAAAAGAATACTAGCTTTTGAAAATTTTAAAAATTGTATTCGGTTTGATTATAAAGTGGTATCAGTGACAGATAAACTATAGAAACAGTATGCTTTTGCCTGTCCAACTTCAGAAGCACCTTTTTTTTTGGTCTGTGAATCTAAATTATTCCCATTGGTGCGTGTGTCATATTTCTCACACTTTTCACATTTTAGCATCTCTGAACTTGGGGCTTCTTATAATTGGTAACATCTTAAAAATTATTATTATTTCTTTTTTACAGATGAACATCTCTGAAATCAAATTTTTATAGTGAGTCAAATCTTAGAATCAATGAAATGTGAAAATCTATAGCATAAAAAATTTACAGATAGTAAATGTGGATGTCTAGGTGTAGATACATGTATATGGATTTCATTTATGATTCTGGAACAAAAGATGGGCATGGTGGCACATGGCTATAGTTCCAGCTACTTGAGAGGCTAAGGCAGGAGAATCAAAATTTCAAAGCCATCCTGGACAACTTAACAAGATTCTATCTTAACATAGAAAGGACTCACAGGAGGGGGCTCAGTGGTAAGAGTACCCCTGGGTTCAATCCCTAGTACCAGGAAAAAAAAATTGTATCTAGTTAGTTGATTGTTTGATCCTTGTCTGCAGCAATCACCAGAGTAGACATGGTAAGCAGAAATAAGTCTTAATTGTACTTGTAATTTTTGCACTCATTTTATCACAATTTTCAGTGTAACTAAAAAACATTTGGGACATACTTTATTTTTATTTAACATTGTTAATGTGTTTCTTTATGTATGTATTTGATTTTCTTCCTTACCCTGGCGACAATAGTGATGGAAGTAATATGGATCAAGAATATGGACCTGCTTATACTCCTCAAACCCATACTTCTTTTGGGATGCCTCCTAGCAGCGCACCTCCTAGTAACAGTGGAGCAGGAATTCTTCCTTCTCCATCCACCCCTAGGTTTCCAACTCCAAGGACTCCAAGGACTCCTCGAACTCCTCGTGGAGCTGGTGGACCTGCTAGTGCTCAAGGTTCAGTAAAATATGAAAACTCAGACCTGTACTCACCAGCCTCCACCCCATCCACATGCAGACCCCTTAATTCTGTTGAACCTGCAACTGTTCCTTCTATCCCTGAAGCACACAGTCTTTATGTAAACCTCATTCTTTCAGAATCAGTTATGAATTTGTTTAAAGACTGTAACTTTGATAGTTGCTGTATCTGTGTCTGCAACATGAATATCAAGGGTGCAGATGTTGGAGTTTACATTCCAGATCCAATGCAGGAAGCACAGTATAGGTGTACCTGTGGCTTCAGTGCTGTCATGAACAGAAAATTTGGAAACAATTCAGGATTATTTCTTGAGGATGAACTAGATATCATTGGACGCAACACAGACTGTGGCAAAGAAGCAGAAAAACGTTTTGAAGCTCTCAGGGCTACCTCTGCTGAACATATTAGTGGAGGTCTAAAGGAATCTGAAAAATTACCTGATGAATTGATACTGTTGCTACAAGATCAGTGTACTAATTTATTTTCACCCTTTGGAGCATCAGACCAAGATCCTTTTCCCAAAATCGGTGTAATTAGCAATTGGGTACGCGTTGAAGAGCGGGACTGCTGCAATGACTGCTATCTTGCATTAGAACATGGGCGTCAGTTCATGGATAATATGTCAGGAGGAAAAGTTGATGAAGCACTTGTGAAAAGTTCATGCTTACATCCCTGGTCTAAACGAAATGGTAAGTGTGTTAATGAAAGTTTTGTTTCCTTTCCTTTCATTGTATAATTGCTTTTCTTTCTTAGAGGAGAAGTATTAAAAGACAACTTTCTATGCAGCTAATAGAGACTCTTATTCTTGGACTTAAAACTTTTTTAAAAATAATTTTCTATTTGATTTAATATCATCATTCCCCCCTGCCCCCCAACAGTGAGTTAGGCAGGTGCGGCCACTAAGCTAAATCCCTGGCAGATTTAAAACTTAAGGATGAATTTTTAGAAGGAGATGTCTTAGTTGTTCAGTTTAATTTCAACACCAGTGGAAGTGCTTTTTTTTTGGTATTGGGAATCAAACTCAGGGCCTTGTGCTTGCCAGGCAAGCGCTGCGCTACTGAGCTACATCCCTGGCCCAAAAGTGCTATTATTGTAAATCTGTAATTATATGGGAATATAAAAAGCATGTCACACATGTTAATTAGCAGAAAATTACTAGTTGTCTGCTTTATTCAGCAATCTTTCTCATTTAAAAAAAAATTTTTTTTTTTTGTACTGGGGATTGAACTCCGCTTCACGCTTTGCCAGGTAGGCACAGCACCACTGAACTACCTCCCCAGCCCCTCTCCTTAAATATTTATTGAGCACCTTATATTTGTTCGGTACTGTTGTAGGATCACTGTTGAACAAAGCAGACATATTCCCGTATTCCCTGCCCTTTTGGGGCCTGTAATTTAATAGAAGAGACAACACACCCACACCCACACACACACACGCACACAAGTAATTACATAATGGATAGTGACAAAGGCTTTGAAGAAAACTAAGCAAATACACGTGTGGTGACATACTTCTGTAATCCCAGAAGTCTGGGAGGCTCAGGCAGGAGGATCACAAGTTCGAACCCAGTCTGGACAACTAGTGATGATTTAATGAGGTCCTGTCTCATTTTTTTTTTTTTTTTGAAGGAGAATGGAGGCTGGGAATATAGCTCAGTGCAAAGAGAAGGTTCTGGGTTCATTCCACAGTACAGAAGGGCGAGGAGTGACTAAGCAGGGCAAAAAGTTATGCTTTATGGTCAGAGAAGGAAAGGATTTAGGCAAATTCCCTACATAAGTGGGAGAATGTGAACTATCTCCTTAACTAAGGGAAGTATGTTGCAGGCAATACATGGTGCAAAACCTTGAGGGAATAGTGTGTTTGATGTTTGGGGAACATGAAGGAGGCATGCTGGAGTGCATGTTGCTGGAGTGCATCAGGTGAAAGGTAGACTAGTATGAAATGAAGCCTGATGTGTTCAAGCACCAAAATCATGTGTGGTTTTATAGACAATGTAATAATGCCTCTGTAGTGCATTCTAAATGTGGTAGAAAGCTGTTGAAGTTTTGAGCAGGGAAGTTACATGATCCTGTTTTTCTGGGGATATTTTTCTTTTTTTTTTTTTTTTTCCAGTACTGGGAATCAACCTTAGGACCTTGTGCTTGCAAGGCAGGCACGGCACCACTGAGCTAAATACCTGGCCCTGTTTCTTTTTAAAAAGATCACTGGCTACTGTGTGGAACATAGTTTGGGGGTTGGAGGTGATAAAGATGAGAGTAGAAGCAAGGAGATTAGTTGGAAGGCAGTTGGCAGTAGTCCAGGTGAAAAATGATGACTGTACAAGATTGGAAGCAGAAAAGGTGTAAGTAGTAGATACCAAGTACATTCGGGAAACAGCACCTGCAAGATTGACTGCAGGCATCAGGGTAGCTTGAGCCACTGGATGAATGGTGGTGCTACCTGTAGAGGAGGTAAACACTGGGGGGGGCAGTTAAGTATAGATTTGGAAATAGGAGTTTTAAATTCAAAGGAGTAATTGGATGTGGAGAATAGTCACTTTGTGTGTTTGTGACTTATCAATATTAAAAGCTGTATGTGGCATCCCCCCAAAAAACTATGCAGCTGAATGAAGTGAGTGTGACTTATAGAGGAGTCCAAGAATGGAGTTCACATTTAGAGGTACAAAAGAAGGGGAGGATCCAGGTAAGGAAACTGAGAAGGCAGAAGGAAAAGGAAGAGAATGTAGTGTCCTAGAAACTGAGTATGAGTTGTATTTGAAGAAGGAGAGTAATTAATCTATCTCAAATATTGTGATAGCTGGGCATGGTGGTGTATGCCTGTAATCCCAGTACTCAGAAGGCTGAGGCAGGAGGGTTGCAGCGACTTTGATACCAACCTGGACTACGTAGTGAGTTCCAAGCCAGGCTGAACTATATAGTGAGACCCTGTCTCAGAAAAAAAAAACAAAAAAATTTGTGATACATCATTTGAAACCAATAGGACTGTTACATCTGACTACATGGAGGCTGGTGATAATCTTGACAAGAAATTGCAATCTGATTAGAGTAGATTTAGGAGAGAATAGGATGAGGAGCAAAACTCTTTGGGAACTTTTTTTTTTTTTTACTGGTACCAGGGATTGAGTTTAGGACCTTGTGCTTGTGAGGCACACCTGCCGCCACTGAGCTAACTCCCCAGCCCGGGGACATTTTCTTATAAGTAGCAGAGAAATTCTATGGTAGGGCTCAAAGAGTTGTCTTAAAGGTACATTGAGAGTGATCTTATTAAGAGAAAATTTTTAAATAGCCAAGTAATAATTATATGTATTTGAGTACATTGTGATGTTCTAATTTATATATACATTGTAGGAAGATTGAATCAAGCTAACTGGATTATCAATCTCTTCACCTACTTATTTTTATGGTGAGAACATTTAAAAATCTCTGTCTCTGTGTCTGGGAGACTGAACCCAAGGTCAATTTTTGTACTGAGTTAATGAAGCAGGGACTTGCTAAGTTGCTAAAAAGTGATCCTTTTACCTCAGACTCCCACTGTGCTAGGATTACAGGTGTATGCTATCAAGCACAGTTTAAAATCTCCTTAAGTGCTTTTGAAATATAGGATACATTGTTATTAACTGTTCACTCTGCTCTCCAATAGATCTCTAAAACTTATTCCTTCTATCTGAAACTTTGGCTGACATTCTCCTTTTCCATCCCCACTTTCTTTCAAGAGATGGAATATTAATACATAAGGGAATGTAGGACCAAACCCATTGAATGAGAGGTAATAGACTCCATTGCAGAAATAGAGGACTAGTTAGACCCTTAGATATATGAACACACTTCTGTAGCAAGAAGGAAAGGCATAGTTTTCTTTGGACAAGAAGAGGCGAAGTGAAAATTTATCTGTGATTGCTTTTATAGTTGATAATGAGGGAAATAATGCTTGACTAATAAGAGATTGAGAATTAATTGATAGAATAATGGTTTCCAAAGTCTAGTTTCCCAGACCAGCAGGTTCAGACATCACCTGGGAACTTACTAGAAGCACAAATTCTCAAGCCAAGTGTTGTGATGCATACCTATAATTTCAGGCTCCAGAGGCTGAGGCAGGATGATTTCAAGTTTGAGATGAGCCTGAGATACATAGTGAGAACCTTTCTCAAAGAGAAGAGGGGCTGGGGATGTAGCTCAGTGGCGCCACGCCTGTCTGGCAAGTGCAAGGTCCTGAGTTTGATCCCCAGTACTGAAAAAACAAAACAAAACAAAACAAAAAAAAAGAGGAGAAAAGCAACAAATTTTCACATTTTCTCCTAGACTTCTAAAATCAAACTGGGTAAGGATTCATTTCTTCTACTCACTAGCAATATGATATTGGACAAATTGACTTAACATCTTGGTTTCTTCATCTATCAATGAAGTAAACTAGTTAATATAGCACTGTTGAGATCTAATGAAGTAATCCATATTAAGCATAGTAACTTTTATTTGGTGCTGCTTTACTTTGCTAAATTCGATCATTTTTGGACCAGTGCACAACAGTGGGCATGGTATTTTGGGAACTATGAAGTTATTCTACCTTAAATTGTTTGTAAACTCCTAGAGAACTAGAACTATAATGAAAGAAGTAAAAGTAATCCAAATGCCCATTGATAGGAGAATACATAATGGTACAGGTGGAGTGTTACATAAATTCTGAAAATGATACATGTAACAAATGAATTGTAGTAATAGTAATTTGGGGGTAAAGAGAATAAATCCCAGAAGATTACTACACATATATGTGTGTGTGTGTGTGTGTATACATATATATATGTATGTGTGTATATATGCATATGCATTGATCCTAGGGCTTTCACAGTGAGCTACATCCCCATCCCTTTTAATTTTTGTATTTTATTTTGAGACAGGCTGTCACTATGTAACTAAATTGCCCAGGCTGTGCTCAAAACTTTTAGATCTGGGCCAGGGATTTAGCTCAGGCATCCCGCTTGCCTTGCAAGCACAAGGTCTTGAGTTCAGTTCCCTGAACCAAAAAAAAAACTTTCAGATCCTCTTGCCTCAGCCTTCCAGACTGCTAGGATTGCAGGCATGTGCCACTATTCCCAGATCACTAATATATACAGAGTCCACCAAAAAAATGTATACACGCTTCAGGAAAAGAAAAACTTGTATAAATATTTTAATGCTAAATATATTGAGACATCATGAGATTAATACAAATTACCTTTGGCCTTTACCAGTACAAGAGGTGCTCAACGTGTGACCATTAGCTTCCAGATATTTATTAGTATGGTGAACTGCTCCTTGGGTCACTTTGGTCATTAAGATTACTGCACATGGATTTTTCAGTTTCTTCTCTTAAGGGCTAGCAATGTAATGGGTTTTCTGCATTATATGACATCCTCTAGGGTCCCCCATACAAGGTTAACACCATCTGTTGAAAAAACATCATACTATTTTTCTTTTTTTGAAGTGTGTATACATATTTTTGGTGACTCTATGTACGTATGTATGTATAGACAGACTGACAGGATCTTGCTGAGTTGCCCAGGGTATGCTAGAACTTGCTCTTCTCCTGCCTCAGATTAAAGGTATATGCCACCATGCCTGACTGCCAGTATCTTGTTTTGTGTAAAACTGGAGTGGATATCTGTTTTTATTACTCAGGTAGACTTGCTGGATCATGCAACTTTAATGTTTTGAGGAACTGTTAACCATATTACATTCATTCCCATCACCAATATTTGAGGGTTCTACTTTTACCAAATCCTCATCAACACTTGTCATTTTATATCTTTTTTATGGTAGTCTTCTTAATAGGTATGGTGTGGTATCTTGCTCTGATTTGATTTTCATTTCTCTGATAAACGATGCTGAGAATCTTTTTATATACTTAATGTCTATTTTTATGTTTTCTTTGGAGATGTCTTTTGCCTTTTTTCTTTTTTGGTATCAGGGATTGAACTCGGGACCTTGTGCTTGCTAGGCGGGCACAGCACCACTGAGTTAAATCCCAGGCATTTTTGCCCATTTTTTAAATGAAGCTTTTGGCCCTCTTTTCGTTGTTTAGAAGTTTTTATGTATTCTAGATAAAAGTCCATATCAGATGTATGATTTGCAGATATTTTATTTGTGGGGTTATCTTTTCACACACATATCCCCTCCACCCCTGGTACTGGGGAATTAAGCCTATGGCCTTTCCATTGAGCTACATCCCCAGCCTTTTTTATTTATCATTTTTACTTTATTTGATTGATTGATTGATTGATGAATGGGGTCTTGCTAAGTCACTAAGTTGCCCAGGTTGGGCTCCAACCTGTGATCCTGCTATAGACTCTCGGAGTGTTGGGATTACAGGTATGCACCAGCCATGCCCAGCTTGCTTTCTTTTTAAATTTTATTTTATTGGTACATTTTAGGTATACAATATAAGGACATTCATCGTTGGAAATTTGCACCTGTGCATAATCTCTCTTGGTTCTTATTTTTCCCCTTCCCCTGCCCTCCTTCAACCCTCCTTCCCTCCCCATTTACAAAGACTTTGTTTCCATTTTTCCATTTTCTCATATTAATTCCATTCCCTTCTTTCCTTTCCCCTACCCCTCCTGCTTCCCCTTCCCCTTTGCCCCTTTTCTTCCTATTTCACATTATCTACTATACCTTTTAGTCCTTATTTACACTTTCAGTTTCTCACACTAGAGAAACTATTCAGTATTTACATGTGTGTCCTATTTCACTTAAGAGTATCGCTTCAGTGTGCATCCATTTAGCAATAAATGTCTCTAATTTCTCATTTTTTATGGCTGAGTAGTACTCCATTTTATTAAAAAACCACATTTTCTTTATCCAGTCTCCAGTTAATGGGCAGTTGGGCTGTTTCCAAGCAGCTTTACTTTCTTGATGGTACCCTTTGCCACATACATTTGTAATTTATTTTTCTCTTGTTTCTTGTATTTTTTTTTTTCAATTAGCAATAATTGCACTTCAGATAAATCTCACTGGCTATAATACTGCCACTGCACAAAGCTGTTGCTTATACTATTTGATGTCATATTTTTAAAATACTTTATCTAGCCCAAGATCATGAAAATTTACCATGTTTATACTTTTAGCTCTTACATTTATATATGTGATCCCTTCTGAATTTTTTTTTGTACATTAAAGGGTTCAGCTTCATTCTCTTGCATGTGGATTTCCAGTTGTCTGTTGAGTTATCTTTCCTCATTCAGTTTCCTTAGCACCTTCATCAAAAATCAGATTTTGTTAACTACAAGGTTTGATTTTTTGAAGGTGCAGTTCTTTTCTGTTAAATCTATGTCTTTCCTCCATGAAGAGTCTAAAACGTCCTTACCCTTTCAGTCTCAGCTTATGTATTTATTTTTCTTTATTAACCCTTTTATTTATTCTAATTACTGTATATGTAGCATATGCAATTATACTTTTTCTTGAGTTTTCCTCTCGTAAGATTATTAGGCCCCTGAAGACACAATGGAATTTTTTTCACATAGTATTATCAGCAGCTGTCATAGTTCCTGAGCCATGGTAGGTCTTTAGTAAATATATTTTCTAAAGAGTAAGAGTATCTATAAGAATCACACTTAATTAGAATCAAAATAAAATTCCTGAGTCTTGTCCACGTCAAAATTTCTTGGGAGTTGAGGGCTGCATATATATTTTTTAAAGCTCCCTTTTGATTATAACACCAACCTTAGCCATTGGTAGCTTTCTAGACTTTCTTATATGAGTAGTCACATACATGTCATGTACTTCTAATTGTGTATATTCTATAGTTTTGCACTTTTCATTCATAGTCATTACTCCATGTCACATAGCTGTTAACACTTCTTACTAAATAGCACTTTATTATGTATAAAGTAGTTTATTTAAGCATAATTGTTATACATTATATTTGGAATTAGATTCTTTTTCTGTATACCATTTAGTTATAGGGGATTAACACCTATAGTTATAGATAAATCAGGCAATGATAATAATTAAAATTGAATGATTTAATGTGATATTATGGTCAAACAGATTTGATGGTTCAAATATGCCATGCTGGATCCAAATTAATTATATCAATATTTAGTGATTTTTTTCTTTTAGCCCTTTGACACTTAGGAGCAACATCTTTCATTCATGTTCTTATAATTGGTAAGAAATGCATATAAAACAATTTGATAATCTGTGAATCTAAGTTTATAAAATAAACTTGGATAATACTTTTTAGCAGTTTAACCAGGTTTATCTGCTATGCACAAGTTTTATATTTCTGAATTGGTTTATTTCTTATCGTTATGGTGGTGGGGGTTGAACTCAGGGCCTGAAGAATGATAGGCAAGCAATCTGCCACTGAAGTATACCCCCAGCTATGTATTTCCAAATTGTCGTAGTTGTACCACACCTGCCTCATAAGTGCAAGGTCCTGAGTTTGATCCCCGGCACCCCCGCCCCCCCAAAAAAAGAATTGCCATAGTCTATTTTTTCCAAAGTTCATTACAGCTAGTCTTATCTATCTAATCACTTTACTGTAGTGGTGGTAATAAAGGGACATAATTTAAAACCCATTTCTGTGTGAAGGAAAATTCTTTTCACTGGAACTCTTGGTTGCTTGGTTACTAGAAGATCCTTTTTGTTTTTGTTATGGTGCTGTGTATTGAACCTAGTGCCTCATGCATGGTAAGCACGTGTTCCACCACTTTATACAGTTCTCCACACAAGGCTGATTGATATTTAATCTTCTTGATGGTAAAAAGCTAACCTTCTCTAGATGTGTTTATTATCTTAAAACTTTGTGTTGGCAATAGCAATTCTTACTGTTTTTTCTAATGCTTGTAGATGTGAGTATGCAGTACTCACAGGATATTCTTCGAATGCTCCTCTCTCTTCAACCAGTTCTTCAAGATGCTATTCAGAAAAAGAGAACAGTAAGGCCTTGGGGAGTTCAGGGTCCTCTCACTTGGCAACAGTTTCACAAAATGGCTGGCCGAGGATCTTATGGTAAGTAATTTATGTTGATATGTAGTGACTAATTGATTTGATTGATTTTCACACTGGGGGTTGAGCCCAGGACCTTCACACTCACTGCATCCCTACTCATTTTAGTTTTTATTTTAAACAGAACAGGGTCTTGCTAAAATGCTAAGTTGCTCAGACTAAATTTGAACTTAAGATTCTCCTTTCTCAGCCTCCCAGAGTGCTGAGATAACAAGTGTACGTCATCACTTTCAGATTGTAATGACTGATTTTCTGTCAATCCTCAGATTTCTGTGGAGGAGGATAACTAAAATAAGCACATTTGTCTTTTGAAAAGTTTCATGGCATATGCTTGACTTAAAACCATGTGGTCCAGGGCCAAGGATTTAGCTCAGTAGTTAGGCTTAGGGTTAGGGTAATCAGATATGTTTTGTAAAAACTGATTAGGTAATTTCTAACTCTGGAAAAGTATCAGTTACTGGCTTTAAATATTTTTGTCTTTAATAAGATATTTTTAATTAATAATTTCTTCATTAACTTTTGACATTTACCACAAAGGAGACATGGCTTGTTTTTCAGTATTTTCTTAAAATATCTTTCTTGCTTAGGAACTGATGAATCTCCAGAACCACTGCCAATTCCCACGTTTTTGTTGGGTTATGATTATGATTTTCTGGTGCTTTCTCCATTTGCTCTCCCTTATTGGGAGAGACTTATGCTGGAACCCTATGGATCTCAAAGAGATATAGCCTATGTTGTACTATGTCCAGAGAATGAAGCTTTGTTACATGGAGCCAAAAGCTTTTTTAGAGATCTTACTGCAATATATGAGGTAGGTGTTTGTTTGTTTGTTTTAAGTGGCATTTTAAAGTTACCTAATGATTTATATGTTTATGTATAAAACACACTGGGAAGTTGCGCTAATTGGACAGAGTGGTGGTGACAGCAGACTAGATACTTGGTTATTGTACCAACCAGTTAACAGCCTTGACCTGTTCTTATGAGGCGGCTCACAGTGGAAAATGCCATATGGGAGGATAAAAAATATTGATGGTATATATATATCTTATTGAAAGCAACCTTTTCTGAAACAAAATCGTAGCACTGTTAAATAAGAAAAAATTATGTTCATAAAAATTCTAGTCCTAATTCTCTAAAACCACATTTAATGACATTAAACCTTATTTTCCTAATACATAATGTATATCTATGCTAGATAACTCCTAAGATCTATTTCAGTTCAGAAACTTTTTTTTTCCTTTTTCTTAAATTCTTTTATTGGTACATTTTAGGTATACAATACATTTACATTTATCATTGGGTGCTCGTACCTGTACATGATGTATCTTGCTTCTTATTTTTTCCCCATTCCCTGTGTGCCCTTCACTCTGTCCACCCATCCCTATTTACATACTTTGTTTCCATTTTTTTCTTTTCTCATAATTTATCCTTTCCCTTCTTTCCTTTCCCCTTCCCCTCCCACTTCCCCTACCCTTTTGGACCTTTTCTTCCTATTTCAAATTATCAATTACTTGTTTTAATCATTTTAATCCTAAATTACACTATCAGTTTCTCACACTAGAGAAACTATTCGGTATTTATACTTGTGTGTCCTATTTATTTCACTTAAGAGCAATATGCATCCATTTAGCTATAAATGTCTCTAGTTTCTCATTCTTTATGGCTGAGTAGTACTCCATTTTATAAAAAAAACCACATCTTCTTTATCCAGTTTCCAGTGGATGTGCACTTGGACTGTTTCCAAGCTTTAGCTATTACAAACTGTACTGCTATAAACATGGGTACACATATATCGCTGTGGTATGATTCTTTTGATTCTTTTGGGAAGATACCCAGCCGGTGAATAGCTGGGTCAGATGGGTCCTCTAGCCCTAGTTCTTTGAGGTATCTCCGTACTGATTTCCACAGTGGTTGCACCAGTTTGCGCTCTCACCAACAATGGAGAAGGGTTCCTTTCTCCCCACATCCCTGCCAGCATTTGTTATTGGTTGATTTCTTGATAGCAGCCATTCTTTCTGGGATGAGGTAGAATCTCAGTGTTGTTTTCATCTGCATCTCTCCAACCATCAGTGATGTTGAACATTTTTTCATATGTTTATTTGCTATTTCTACTTCTTTGAGAAATATCTGTTCATTTTGGATGCCCATTTTTGAATTGGGTCTTTGAATTTGGGGAGGGTCTGATTTTTTTCAGTTCTTTATATATTTTAGATAGTAGTCCTTTTTTTTGGTACCAGGGATCAAACTCGAGTCCTTGCGCGATAGTAGTCCTTTGTCTGAGGTACAGCTGCTAAAAATTTTTTCCCGCATTGTAGGTTGTCTCTTAGCTCTGTTGATGGTTTCTCTTGCAGTGCAGACGCTTTTTTTTTTTTTTTTTTTTTTTTCCGGGGATTCAACTCCGGTCCTTGTGCTTGCACAGCAGGCACCAAAACCACTGAGCTAAATCCCCGGCTCCTCACAGATGCTTTTTAATAAGATGAGATCCCAGTTGTTGATCCTTTGTGCTAGTTCCCATGCTACTGAGGTTTTGTTCATAAAATCTTTTCCTATGCCAGTGTCTTCAAGAGTTCTACCTAACTTATCTTCCAGCAAGTTTAGTGTTTGTTTTAATATTTAGATCTTTAATACACTTCGATCTTAGTTTAGTGCGTGGTGATAAGTATGGGTCTAGTTTTAATCTTTGGCAGGTTGAAATCCAGTTTTTCCATCACCATTTATTAAATAGGCTATCTTTCCTCCCATGAGGGTGGTTAGCTCCTTTGTCAAAGGTAAGGTGGCTGAGTGTGTCTGGAGTTGTTTCTGCATCTTCTAATCTATTCCATTGATCCTTGGTTCTGTTTCTGTGCCAGGACCATGCTGTTTTTTATCACAGTAGCTTTGTAGTATAGTTTCAAGTTGGGGATTGTGATGTCCTGTGTCATGTCTCTGTTGCTTAGAATTGCTTTTGCTATTCTAGGTCTCTTCTGGTTGCAAATGAATTTTTGGATTATTTTCTCTAGTTCTGTGAAATATATTGTTGGAATTTCAATTGGCATTGCATTAAGTCTATGTAGCAGTTTTGGAAGTATGGCTATTTTCACTGTATTGGTTCTTCCTACCCAGGAACAAAGGATGTCTTTCCATTTTCTTATATCCTCTTGGACCTCTTTTTTCAGAGTGCTGTAGTCAGTGTAAAGGTCTTTTGCTTCCTTTTGTTAGATTGATTCCTAGATACTTCATGTTTTTGGATGCTATTGTAAAAGGAATTGTTTCCCTAATTTCTCTCTCAGTGAGTCTGTTGTTTGTGTATAAGAAGGCTATTGTTTTTTGAATGTTGATCTTGTATCCAGCTACTCTACTGAATCTGTCAATTAAGTCTAGAAGTCTTTTGGTGGAGTTTTTTGGTTTTCTATGTAAAGTATCATATTGTCAGCAAATAATGAGTTTAACTTCTTCCTTTCAGTTCTGAAACTCTTGACATTTTTTTTTCTTTACTACTGGGGATTGAACCCAGGCCTTCATGCATAGTAGGCAAATGAGCTACACTCCAGGCCTTTTTAAAAATTTTATTTTGAGATAACGCCTGGCTACAGGCTACCCTCAAACTTAAGGTTCTTCTGTCTCAGCCTCCAAGTAGTTGTAATTGCAGGCATACACTATTACATCCAGCTTCTTTACTATTGTTATACATTGTATTTTTCATGTGTATCTGTCATTAGACACAGTAATTAAAAATTATACTTATGGTTCTGGCGCCTGCCTCACAAGTGCAAGGTTCCAAGTTTGATCACCAGTACCAAAACAAAATTATACGTGATGTGAGACATAAAGCTTACTTCATTATACCTTCCTTTATCTACAAGTACTTGGATATCCAACCTTTGCATTTTGATTTCTTTTGCAATCTGAGTTTGTTAGTCTGTGCTGGTTTAGTTCCCATATAAATTTTTCACTTAATTACAAGTTCTCTATGTTATCTTTTATAAACAAACATTGTCCAAGGAGTTCTTTTGAACACAAATGCTGAAAAATCCTCCCCAAGAAAAATAGTCAAATAAATTTGGGGAAACTTGTTTATTACCTTTTAGAGTTTCACAATTCATATTAAGTTAATAAAGGTTTTGAAAGTCTTAGTTGAAGTCTTAATTGAAATTAGCTTAGTTTTGCAAATTTGTTGACATTGTCTGACTTGTAACAGGAATTATTGATCCGCAGAACTAGAGGAAGAGCTGGCAAATACATTGTGTATTTATATACCAAGTTTCATTTTGTTTTGACAGATGCCTATATTGCTTCATGTACATGAATTAGGATAGATGTGTAACCTAAAATGATTGTGGTGTTGTTGTTGTTGTTGTTTTTAATGGGGGTCTTGTTGGGATGGTGTGCATGGGTATGATCCCAGCAAGTTTGCAAATTTGAGCCTAGCCTGGGCTACTTACTGAGATCATGTCTCAAAATAAAGTAAAATTAAAAAAAAAAAAATAGAGAAAAAAGGCTGAGGATATAGCTCAGTGTGAAGGCCCTGGGTTCAATCCATACTACCAGAGAAGAGGGCCAGGGCAGGGTGTTATGGGGTCTTGCTATATTCCCCAGGCTGGCCTTAAACTCTTAGGCTCCTAAGTAACTGGAATTTACAAGTGTGTACTACTACAACTGTTTGTATTTTTTTAAATGATTGCCCTTTTTTTGCTCACCTTTTTCTGTATTTTATGAACTTCTGTTATTCAAAACAAATGGCTGTATTGCTGTCGTCTGGTGTTATTTTCTGAATATGTTTTCATTATAGTTAGTTTTATTTTGAAAGAAATTTAATGATTTCTAAAGGAAGAAGAAATCAATGGTTCTGTTTTCACCCATGATATTCGTATCTCAAGTGTAATTTCAAACAATTAATCTGATTTTAAATGACTTAAATGCTTAATTTTCTAATGTATACTCAAATACTATAATACGTTTATTAATTCTGCTTCCTTTAATACATATAGTCCTGTCGGTTGGGTCAACACAGACCTATTTCTCAATTGTTGATGGATGGGATCATGAGAGTTGGATCTGCTGCATCAAAGAAACTATCAGAAAAGATTGTAGCAGAATGGTTTTCTCAGACAGCTGATGGTAACAATGAAGCATTTTCTAAACTCAAGCTTTATGCTCAAGTCTGCAAATACGACCTAGGTACTGAACTTACATTTATTGTGTTAGGCCAGTATTAGCAAATCATGACCAGGTCCACCAGCTGTTTTTGTACATAAAATTGTATTGGAATATAGCCATTTTCATTTATTTATATATTGTTTCTGTCTGCTTTTGTGCTCCAGAATCGGAGTTGAGTAGCAGTGAGAAAGACTGTGGTACACAAAGCCAAAAGTTACTAACTGATCTTTCCCAGAAAAAAGGGTTTTGTGTAGGGGTCTTAACAGGTGGGAGTTGTGTATTCTAAACTATTTTCTCTTGATTCTGTAGGATCTGATGTTTTATTCACATTGATTTTTGATTTATTAATACTTTAGAGGTAAAATAATTTGTAGTCAGCCTCTGTAACACCAAGAAGTAGTTCTTTACTATAGCTAAGAAAATGACTGCTATTCAAAACTTTCTTGTAGTACTTTGGAATTAAACACCAGTAGCCTTCCTTTAGATTTGATTCAAAGAGGTACAGTACCGATATAGTGATTCTCATTAGACATTCTTTTAATTTGAGCCTCGTTATAACATTTTTTTCATTAGTTGTATAAAAATGCTGGTTTACTTATACAATTTTATTTTTAAATTTCTTTCTTTAGTTTCTAGGAGAAAACAGAAATCTAATACATGCTATACTGTGAGCAGACAGTCTAGGGTAGATAGCCAGGCGTGGCGGTGCACACCTGTAATCCTAGCACTTGGGAGGCTGAGGCAGGAAGGTTGTCATGAGTTCGAGGCCAGCCTGGGCTACATAGCAAGTTCAAGGCCAGCCTGGACTACATAGTGAGACCTTGTCTTTAGAAAAACAAATAAACAAAAATTTAGGCCAGATAATTGCCAAGGAAGTATCACCTAGATTATTTTTTATTTATATAGTAGAATAGAAAAAGGAACCGGTCGGTGAAATAAAGAATTAAATTCCTGTGTTTATTCTTTAGGTCCTTATCTTGCCTCCCAGCCATTGGACAGCTCTCTACTTTCACAGCCAAATTTAGTTACCCCTACCAGTCAGTCTTTGATTACTCCCCCTCAGATGACAAATACTGGAAATGCTAATACATCATCTGCCACATTAGCATCTACAGCAAGCAGCACCATGACAATGACTTCAGGTGTTGCCATATCTTCTTCAGTTGCCACAGCTAATTCAACTTTGACCACAAGTTCATCTTCATCATCTTCCAACTCGAATAGTGGAGTATCATCAAACAAAGTACCTTCATTTCCACCCTTTGGCAGTATGAACAGTAGTGGTACAGGATCCATGTCTACACAAGCAAATACAGTTCAGAGTGGCCAGCTAGGAGGGCAACAGTCATCAGCTCTGCAGACGGCTGGGATTTCTGGAGACTCTTCTTCACTTCCCACTCAACCGCATCCTGATGTGTCTGAAAGGTACCTTGAAAAATGCAGATCTTTGGGGTTGGGGAATAGCTTGGTCATGGAGCCTGTGCTTATCATGCCTGAAGCAATGGATTCAATTCCCACACCAAACAATAAATAAGAAGATAGGGCCGGGGATTTAGTTCAGTGGTTCCAGTGCCTGCTGCACAAGCGCAAGGTCCTGAGTTCAATCCCTGGTACCACAAAAAAAAAAGAAAACACATAAATAAGAAGATAGTCATTGTGAAAGAACATGCAGTATAGTGCTTTTTGATTTTTTTTTTTTTTTTGGTACTGGGGATCAAACTCGGGTTCTTTTGCTTGCGAGGCAGGCGATGGAACCACTGAGCTAAATCCCCGGCCCTCTTATTCTTGAAATGCTAGCTTTTATAATATTAAATATTTTATGTGTAAAATTATAATGAAAACTCTTTAAATGTCTTAACATATATCCTTAGACTCTTTAGGGTGGGAGTTAAGATCTTTTCTTTTCTGTTTTTTGAGACAGGTCTCACTGTGTAGTTCAGGCTGGTATTTGAACTCACTATGTAGCCGAGGCTGGCCTCAAACTTGCAGAATCCTCCCACCTCAGCCTTCTGAGTGCTGGGATTACAGGTGTGCGCCACAGCACCTAGTTTAGGGAGTTAAGATCTTAAAAGCCATTTAATCCAGATATCCATGGGATGTTTGAGTGTGACCTGTGACGTAATTGTCAAGTAGATTTGCCTATGCAAATTATTTCAGTAATTGAGAAATCGATATTCAGCTACCCTATTGAAACACTTTAAAGTCACCCAGGTTTCAATTTCAGCTCTGCCATTTAGTGGCTTTGCAGTTTAAGGGAATTTCTTAACTTTCAGAGTGTGTGACCTTCTCTGCAAAATGCAACTAATGTGGTATAATGTACATTAAGTGCTTTGCACAGTGCTCTCAAGTTATTTATAATAATCATGATGACAGTTCTTGTTCCTTTAATACTGAAGGTATTGGAAAAGTTTCCTTTTGATTTATGGGTTAGGTTTAGTCTGAGGGTAGGTGTATTTGTTACCTACCTAGGATACTGTTGTGCTCAGTGTTATAAATGTGTGTGTGGGGCTGCACTATTACACAGATTGATCTACCCATATTGACTAAACAGATTTGTAGTTTAAAAGTAAATCACCCATTGAAGAATGAAGCTTATTCTTCATTGATGTTATAAAGTATGAATATGTATAGCCTAAAAATGTACTGGAACATTGAATGGGTCTAGAAATACTTGTTTAGTTATTTAA